TATATATATATATAAATTAAATAAATAAGTAATAAGGGAGACAAATAAATAATAAGGAGACAAACTTATTTATTTATTTTCTTATTTTTGTCTCCCTTTATTCATTTATTTATATTTATTATGCACTAATATTGCTGTATCTCCTTCCAGTTCCCTACTACTGCCGCTGCTGCTGTTGCTGCTGTTGCTGCTGTTGCTGCTGTTGCTGCTGCTACTGCAGCATCATCATTATTGCTATCATAATAAAGAGCCGCAGCTCGCTATAAGTCAGAAGCAGCAAAAGCTGCTGCTGCTGCTGCTGCTGTAGCAACTGCAGCAGCAACAGCGGCAACAGCAGCAGCAGCAGCAGCAACGTGGGTTGCACGCTGCTACTTGCTTATGCAAGAGTCACTTGCTGCTCTAAGAACAAACAAGTGCTGCTGCTGCTGCTAGTCTAGCTGCTGCTGCTGTTGCTGCAGCTATTGCTGCAGCAGTTGCTACAGCTATTGCTGCAGTTTGTGTTCAGCCATTGCTGCAACTATTGCCGCAGCTGTTGCTGCGTCTGGTGTGCTGTTTTTGCTGCAGTTCCTGCTGCAGCTGTTGCTGCAGCTGTTCCTGCTGTTCTTGCTGCTGCTGCTGCTGTTGCTGCTGTTGCAGCAGCAGCAGCAGCATTAATACATAGTGTGATACAAATGATAATATAAACCCCTCCCTTCAAACTCCAAAGCTGCAGCAGCAGCAGCTGCTGTTGCTGCTGTTGCTGCTGTTGTTGCTGCTGCTGCTTTTATTTTTTCTTTTCTCCTGCAGCAGCAGCAGATGAATATAAGAAGCAGTATCTAATTCTGCAGCTGTTATTACTACTTCTATTCCTCTTCCTCCCCTTCCTCCCCCCCCTTCTGAGTCCTGCTGCTGCTGCTGCTGCTGCTGCTGCTGCTGCTGCTGCTGCTTCTGCTTATTCAAGTATACTGCAGATAGCTTCCCTTAATGATTTGCTGCTGCAGCGGCAAGAGAATTTAAGGAGACAACTGTCACCAGGGAAGAGACAAAAAGCACGAGCAAGTACCTCTTGTCCCTCTATAAATATACCAGCAAGCAGCAGCTCATGGCTGCCGCTGCTGCTGCTGTTGCTGCTGCTGTTGCTGCTGCTGTTTAAGACCTCTGAACCACCACAAGGAGATAAATGTAATATATTTAATAAATAAGAAACAGCAGCAGCAGCAGCAGCAAAAGGAAGAGATAATTTAGTTATTGTCTCCTCCTCCTCCTGCTGCTCCCATCTACTTATAAACTCATTACTTGTTAAATTTAATGGACCTGCATATACACCAAAAGTACACCACAAAACCCTAAACCCTAAACCCTCATAAACCCTCATAAACCCTCATAAACCCTCATAAACCTTCATAAACCCTAAACCCTCAAAAAATAGATTTATTCATAATCCCGTCACAAACCCTCATACAAACCCTAATATACAAACATGCGGAGGTGTAGAGAGAGGAGTTAATTAGTGTTTAGGGTTTACGCATAAATTGTGCAGGTGTAATAGAGAGAGGCTCAAATGAGTGTTTAGGGTTTAGGGTTTAGGGTTTACGTATAAATTGTGCAGGTGTAATAGAGAGAGGCTCGAGGGGATATTCATCATCAATTCCTTCGTCATCTTCTTCTTCCTTAATCATGAAGGATAGGCCGCAAGGAATAGATATACATTTTCTTACTGCTGCTGCTGCTGCTGCTGCTGCAGCTGCTGCAGCAGGAGCAGCAGGCAGCAGCAAACCGTAGCTGCTGCTGCTGTCCCCTGCTGCTAGCTGAGGTATAGTAAGGGAAGCAGCTAGCTGCCAAGGAGACCCCTCTAAGAAGAGAGAGGGAGCAACAGCAGCAAGAGTTTGCTGCTGCAGTGTATTTGTTACCTGCAGCTCTAGCAGCACAACTACAGGAACTGCAGCAGCAGCACCTGCTGCTGCTGCTGCAGCAGCAGCAGCAAATACATGCAATGTGGCCTCAGCGCCATATTCTGCTTCCTCCTCTGTAAGAAGTTGTGGGCCAGAGGAGACATGCAGCAGCAAACTTTTTGCTGCTGCTGCTGCTGCAGCAGCTGCTGCAACTTCTCCTGCTGCTGCTGTTGCTGCTTCGCTGCTTGCAAGCAGATGTACTATTTCTAATAAGCGGGTTTCTTTCTCTGCTGCTGCTGTTGCTGCTGCTGCTGCTGCAGCAACTGCTGCACCACGTCCTCCTGCTGCAGTAGCAGCAGGTGTGAATGTCTGAGGAAGCAACACCTGCTGCTGCTGCTGTAGCTGCTGCTGCATCTTTTGCTGCTGCTGCTGCTGCTCTTGCTGGTATTGTGCCTCTGTAGGTACAGCATCTAATTCAACTAATGTGTCTGCTGTCTCCTCCTGCTGCAGTTGCTGCTGCAGCAAATCACATAAATAGTTAAGAGAGATAGGAGGCTCCTGCTGCAGCATAGCATCAAGAGGCCCTTCTGCTGCTGTGCTGCTGCTGCTGCAGCAATCTATCTCATCTTCGTCATGATCACCCTCCTCCTGCTTTTGCTTCTTTTGCTGCTGCTGCTGCTGCTGCTGCAGAGCCTGATGCATAGCATAGGCTCTATCGCGTACTTCTTCATCAGGATCGGAAGCAGCAGCAGCAGCAAGAAGCAGCAATACATCCTTATTGCTGCTGCTATTGCTGCCACCACCACCACTGCCGCTGCTGCTGTTGCTGCTGCTGCTGCTGCTGCAGCAGGATCCAACCTTAGCTATAGCATCAATAGCTGCTGCTCTACCATTAGATGTCTCTAAGCTAACACGATTGAATATATGTCTAAGATATTTGCCACTAGTTTCTGCTGCTGCTGCTGCTTTAGCTGCTGCTGTTGCTGCAGCAGCAGCAGCAGCAGATGCAGTTGGTTTCCCTTCTTGAGCAGCAACAGTAGCAGCAGATTTAGCAGCAGCAGCTGCAGCAGCAGCAGCAGCAGCATCTCCTGCCCATGTTGCTGCCTCGTCACCAAGGAGACACAAGACACGACAACATAAGGAAGGATACTCACAGTCCTCTATAAGTTCGCATAAGAAGGAGAGACATGTATCTCTTGCTGCTGGTTGCTGCTGCAGCAGCAGCAGCAGACCCTCAACAGCAGCAGCCTTAATTAATAGAGAAGATTCATCACGAAGACAAGAAGATAATATATCTATTATTAATTTATATTTATTAGGGTAAATAAGGAGACATAAGGAGACAGCAGCAGACAAAAGGGAGACACGTACTGTCTCCTCTGTTGTATCATCTAGTAATAAGAAGGAGACACTTTTTATTAATCTATCTATATTATTATCTGCTGCTGTACGTAACAGTATTGCTGCTGCTGCTGCTGCTGCTGTCTTATTGCTGCTGCTGCTGCTTAATATATTCTCTAGTGTCTCTCCTATAGGAGATAGATACAGCAGACAACTACTATACCTGGATATACACCCCAATGTACGTGCTGCAGCAAACTGCAGCACAGATCTGCTGCTGCTGCAGCAACGAGATAAGACAGACACAGCAGCAGCAATATTATAATTTAATAATTTATTATAACCTATCCATCCTTTTTGCTGCTGTTGCTGCAGTTGCTGCTGATGTAATTGTTCTTGCTGCTGTTGCTGCTGTAATTGCTGCTGCAGTTGGGGATGCACACGTTCCAGTTGCTGCAGTAATAAAGTCTGCTGCTGCTGCTGCTGTCGGTGCTGCTGCTGCTGCTGCTGCTGCTGCAGTGGCTCCTGTGCCATAGCAGCAAGAAAACAAAGAGTTCTTGCTGCCTCTAAGGCTACCATCTCGCTGCTGCTGCTCAGGCAGCTCTCTGCATGCAGCAGCAGCAGCTCGTGTGTCTTGCTGTCTGCTTCCTGCTGCAGCAGGAAATAGCTAAGGCGCAGCAGCACGAGATCTGCAATAGGAGAACGAGTGTGGGGTGCTTGCTGCTGCTGCTGCAGTGCAGCAGCAACTGCTTTTAGCTGTCCTTTTGTGTCTCCTTGCTTCAGCAGCAGCAGCAGCAGCAACGCATGCACAGCAGGGAAGGGGAGGCCTGCTGCTGCGCATGCATTCAGCTCCTCTGTCCATCTCCTTACGAGGTCAGGAGACAGCTGGAGGAAGGAGAAGCCACAGAATATAGCAGCAGAAGCAACAGCAGCAGCAGAAGCAGAAGCAGCAGCAGGTCCTCCTGTTGCTGATAATGATGCTGCTGCTGTACTTCCTCCTCCTGCTGCTGCTGCACCACCACCTGCTATTGCAGCACGAACATAACGCTCTGTCTGTGCAGCAACAGCAGCATCAGCAACAGCAGCAACACAGCGCAGCGCGCTGCTTCTGCTGCTGCTGCTGCTGCTGCTAGTAATAGTCTTAGTAAGAGAAGAAGTAAGAACAAATGCCTCTGTAGCAGCAACAGGCAGCTGCCGCAGCAGCAAATGGATTAGCTGCTGCAGCAGCAAATGTTTTGCATGCAGCAATCTAGTTAGATTAAAGAATACAGCACTTGTCTCTGCTGCTGTTAATTGTGTCCCCTGCTGCAGCAGGAACAGCAAACTTGCTGCTACCCTGCAGCAGCAAGCAGCATCAGGGGGAGTAGCAGCAAAACATCTTGTCTGCTGCAGTACTGTCCCTTTATCTACCCGCAGCAAGCTGCTGCCTAAATCTGCTGTTGTTGCTGCTGCAGATATACCTCCACCACCGCCTCCTGCTGTTGCTGCTGCTGCTGCTGCTGCTGCTGCAGCAGATACAGAGGATAAACCTACACCAAAGGAACCAAACTCTAACTGCAGCGTACGCTGCAGCTTAGATCGTAAGGATGACGCATTCAACATCCTGCTGCTGCTGCTGCTGTTGTTGTTGTTGTTGCTGCTGCTGCTGTTGCTGCTGCTGCTGCTGCAGGGGCTGCTTTTCGGTATGAGCAGCTAGTGGGTGGAATAATTTCGCTGTAACCAATAGATACAGTTGCTGCTGCTGCTGCTCCTGCTGCTGCTGCTGCTCCTGCTGCTGCTGCTGCTCCTGCTGCTGCTGCTGCTCCTGCTGCTGCTGCTGCTGTTGTCTTGCAGGTGCTGCGTTCCTCCAGATACTGCTGCTCTTCCTGCTGCTGCTGCTGCTGCTGCTCCTATTTCGTGTGAAGCAGCAGCTAATGCATGCATAAGAGCAACAAAGAAAGAAGAAGAACTACAGGCTATAGGCACCCTAACCTCCTGCTGCTGCTGCTGCAGTCGGTTGCTGCTGCTGCAGTAGGTAGATGCTGCTGCTGCTGCTGCAGTGGGTTGCTGCTGCTGCTGCAGCCTATACACCTAAAGTAAAGTGTATGATCACTTAATTCTTCTTTGTTGTCTTTAGGGAAAAGGCATGCTGCTGCTCCCTTGCTGTGGCAGCAGCAGCGCTCTCCTGCTGCTGCTGCTGCTGCTGCAGTTGCTGCTACAGCTGCGGCGAGCGCAGCAACGAGAATAAATAATAGGGAATTATGGTGTATATACAGCTAAAACAAAACATTTAAAAGAGCTGAATAAGCTCGTTCTGCTGCTGCTGCTGCTGTTGCAGCCGTGTCTCGGCCTGCTGCTGTTCTGCTGCTGCTGCCGCTGCTGCTGCTGCTACACATGCAGGTAGGTCGGCAGCAGCAACAGCAACAACAGGAGCAACAAGACTAACAGCAGCAGGAAATATACATGCAGCAGCAGCAACAACTCTTAAAGCAATAAACCCTCGTATTTAATAGGAATTAAGTTGCTTCCTTGTTGTTAAGTTGCCTTTTTGCTGCTGCTGCTGCTGCTGTTGCCTCTGTTCCTGCTGCTGCTGCTGCGCATGCTGCAGCAGCAGCAGCAGCCGTATAATATACAGCAGCGTGTATCGCTTCCTTTGCTGCTGTCCCTCAGCACTAATATATAATCTGTTTTAAAGGCCTTCTGCTGCAGCAGCTGCTGCTGCCGCTGCTGCTGCTGCTGCTGCTGCCGCCGCTGCTGGTGGTGGTGTTAGAGTAGCATAGCAGCAGCAACAGCAACTATACAGCAGCAGCAGGAAGAACAGCAGCAACAGCAACAGCATAAACAGCAACAGCAGCAGCAGCAACGACGGCAGCACTGCCGTCAGCGGCACTACCACAAGCGGGCAGCAACGCATGCTGCAAGCCACCAAACCCTAAACCCTAAACCCTAAATTTGACGTGTGTAGCCCTTCTCGCATGTCTCCGTTACGCCCATTCTCGGTGCCTGTTGAAGGACGACGAGGGTTTAGGGTTTAGGATTTAGGGTTTAGGGTTCGGGGTTTAGACGATCTCCATAGAGAACACGCGCCTAAACCCTAAACCCTAAACCCTAAAGTGTTTGTTGGCTATGGCGGGTCCGCGGTACAAACCGTTTCAGTTTATCTGGAACAGGTAACATCTTTCCCTGTCCTCTCCTTATCAATTTTCTAGGGTTTAGGGTTTACAAGGGTTTAGGGTTTACAAGGGTATAGGGTTTACAAGGGTTTAGGGTTTAGGGTTTAGGGTTTAGGGTTTGTGTGCAGGTTTAGCTATAATGCCTTCCATATAAGAAGACAGAGATTATATGATCGTCTTTATGCTGTTGTTGCTGCAGCAATGATTGGCTTTACTGTCTTTCAAGGTACCTCTAAACCCTAAACCCTAAACCCTAGCAAACCCTAAACCCTAATCAGCACATTAAACGGGAGGGGTGTTGGGTGGCTTGTTGGGGCATTAGTTAGACTTTTTAAGGGGTAGGGTTTATGAGGGTTTATTAGGGTTTATGAGGGTATATTAGGATTTAGGGTTTAGGGTTTAGGGTTTAGGGTTTAGGGTTTGTCTGAAGGGGCAAACATAATTTATATTTGGCAAGACGCTGTACACCACAACTACAGACATTATCTGCTCAAGGAGGTCAGCAAAACCCTAAACCCTAAACACTAGCAAACTGTAAACCCTAAACCCTAGCAAAACCCTAAACCCTCATTCTTGTGTGAGCTGACAGATAGGTTTGCCTCCGACGACGGTTTGAATGAGTTTAGGGTTTTGCTTTTATCGCTCATGTTGCAGTTAGGGTTTAGGGTTTATGAGGGTTTAGGGTTTAGGGTTTTTGAGGGTTTAGGGTTTTTGAGGGTTTAGGGTTTTTGAGGGTCTAGGGTTTTTGTGCTGCAGAAGACTCGAAAGGAGTTGGCAGAGATGATCCGAGCAGCAAGAGAAGAAGGAATACTTCCTTCTTCCCCTAGCAGCAGCAGCAGCAGCAACAGCAGCAACAGCAGCAGCAGTGAGGATATAAACCCTGCAAACACTTAGGACAGAGCGTCTAGGGTTTAGGGTTTAGGGTTTGGGGTTTCCACAGTGGACGTGCTGCAGTGGGGGAAGCTGCCCACAGCAGCAACAACACCAGCAGCAGCTGCTGCTGGTCCGACAGCAGCAGCAGCAGCAGCAGCAGCAACAGCAGGCTGGCGAGATGTCTAGCTGGCGCCCGAGGGTCTTCATTTGCTCATCTGCTGCTGCTGCTGCTGCTGCAGCTACATCTGCTTCCGTTGTTGCTGCTGCTGCTGCCACATTTGCTGCTGCAGCTTCTACATTTGTAGCTGCAGCAAAGGCAGCCTCCTTAAAGCGCAGCAGCAGCAGCAGCAGCGACAGCTGCTGCGGAGACAGCAGCAGCGGGAGCTGCAGCAGCAGTAGCAGCAGCAGCAGCAGAGTTGCATTTATAGTTGACTGACTTTGTTTTCTTCGTAAGATACTAGATGCAGAATATTAGGGTTTAGGGTTTAGGGTTTAGGGTTTAGGGTTTATTTTGTATAGAAGGGGAGTAGAAGGTCGATAGGGCGGGCGAGTGAAGCCCCAAACCCTAAACCCTAGTAAACCATAAACCCTAAACCCTAAACCCTAATTAATACGAGCAGATGTTTACAACTGGTTTGTAGTATTTGTATCTCCTACTTCCCTCGAAACCCTAAACCCTAGACACAAAGACAGACACTCCTGCTGTTGCTGCTGCTGCTGCTGCTGCTCGTACGAGTGCTCGCAACTGTTACTGCAGCGGCAGCAGCTGCTGCTGCTGCCATTATTGCTGCAATTCCTGCAGTTGTTGCAGTAATCTTCTAAATACGAATATTGCAATTAATAATAAAGAAACAGAAGACACACGTTTGCTGCTGTTGCTGCTGTTGCTGCTGCTGCTGCTGTCATCGGCCAGCAGCAGCATGGTCACGGCCGCCGTCGCCGCCGCCGCCGTAGCAGCAACAGGAGCAGCAGCTGCTGCTGTTCCGGCTGTTGCTGCTAATTAATAAGGAAGAGGTATATAATTAACACTGTCGGTATATATTTATTGTCCTTATCCAGCATTGCTGCTGTTATTTCCTCTTCTGCTGCTGCAGTTGCTGCTGCTGCTGCTGTCGTCTTCCGGCCGTCAGCTGCCAACACGCCCCCCAGTAGCAGCAGCAACAGCAGCAGCAGCTAGACCATTGACATTATTTGCTGTTAGAGGAAGCAGCAGCAGCTGTTGCTGCTCCTTCCTCTAAGGCAGCAGAAGAACATCACTGCAGCAGCACTGCAGCAGCACTGCGGCAGCATCTGACCACCGTAGAACCCTAAACCCTAAACCCTAAACCCTAAACCTCCACAGCGTCTCCTTCTTGACTGATCAAAGAAAGATCTGTCTAGAGGCTACAGCAGCTGCTGCTGCTGCAGCTCAACAACAGCTCTAAGAGCAGCAGCAACAGCAGCAACAGCAGCAGCAACAGCAGCAGCAACAGCAGCAGCAGCATCGGTTATGACCCTCCCGGGCCGTCCTCCAAAGCGCAGCAACGCTGCTGCCTCTGAGCAGCCATTGCTGCTGCAGTCTAAGAAGCATCAGCAGCAGCAGACAGCAGCAGCAGCAGCAGTAGCAGCAGATGACCACAACCGCAGCAGCACATGCAGCGGGGAAACAGATTCTCCCGAGTCTGCTGCATCTGCAGCAATAAGTGAAGCAGCAGCTGCAGCAGCAGCAGCAGCAGCAGCAGCAAGCCCCTTTCTCCCTGCATGGGGCCCCAGTCAGCTGCTGCTGCTGCGGGAAGCAGCAGCAGCAATATTTGCTGCTCAACGTTTAACATTAAAGTTAATTCCTGTGTCTGCTGCCTGTACACCCGACCGCAGCAGCAGCAGCAGCAAGAGCACTTCTTCTTCTCAACAGCAGCAGCAGCAGCAGCAGCAGCAGGAGAAGGGTGCAGCAGATATACTGCAGCAGCAGCAGCTACGTAATTTACGTGAATATCTTCCTCGTCGCATGCAAGACAACATCTCCTTTTGCTTAACAGCTGTCAATACACCGCAGAGCAGCAGGAACAATAAACTCCCGCTGCAGTTGCTGCCTTCCCCTCATCCTACTTATTCTCCTCCTCCTGATGTGCTGCAGGCAGCAGCAGAAGCTGCTGCTGCAGCAGCAGCAAAAGCAGAAGAAGAGCATGCACAGAAGCAGCAGCAGAAGCAGGAGGCAAAGGGAGAGGATGGGAACAACAACAACAGCAGCAGCAGCAGCAGTGTTAGTGACGATGGTTCTTCGGGTGCATCATCAGGTGCAGCAGCAGCAGCAGCAACAGCAGGAGCAGCAGAATGATCACCATGACCATGACAATGATGACGAAGATGATGAACAACAGCAGCAAAAGAAACACCACCACCGCCACCATCCTCATAACCCCCAGGAGCAGCAACAGCATCAGCAGCATCAGCAGCATCAGCAGCATCAGCAGCAGCAGCAGCAGCAGGAGGAAGGAGGCCAATTAAAAAGATTAGTAGTATGTGGTGCATTAATAGAAATATTAGCAAATGAGGAAAGACAGATACAAGCCTTATGGGTATGTCCTAATCTAAGCAGCAGCAGCACAAGATTGCTGCTAGATGTATTCTTACGTGTTGCTGCAGCAGAAGCATTTGCTGCACAAGATAATACACAAGCAACAAGCAGCAACAATAGCAGTAGCAGCAGCAGCAGCAGCAGCAGTAACAGCAAGAAAAAACGAGAAAAAGATAACAAATATGAGAAAAATAACAAACATTGCAGCAGCAGCAGCAGCAGCAGCAACAGCAGCAGCAGCAGCAGCAACAGCAGCAGCAGCAAGGTAGGAAGAAGCAAAAAAGAGAAAGAAAAGGCAGAAAAGAAAGGTAAATCATCTAAGGACAAACGTAAGCAGCAGCAGCAGGAGGAAGAGGATGAGAAGGATGATCATTATGGTTTGCTGCCTGTACAGCAGCAGCAGCAGCAGCAGCAGCAAAAAAAGTTGCTGTTTGCTTCCTGCAGCGATATATTTGAATGGCCAAGACAAGCAGCATTCTTAATTGCTGCTGAGCAGCTAATAGGATTTAATTTACATTGTGAGTTGCTGCAGCAGGAACCATCTGCTGCTGCTGCTGCATCTGCTGCTGCTGCTGCAGTTGATACAGCAGCAGCAGCAGCAGCAGCAGATATTGCACATGTAGATCATGGCTTCGGCAAAAAATTTGCTGAAGGATGTCCATGCAGAGATCTTGTTCCTGCTGCTGCTGCTGCTGCTGCTGCTGTTTCTGGTTCTAAGAAATCAGGAGGAGGAGGAGGAGCAGCAACAGCTACAGCAACAGCAGCAGCAGCAGGAGGACAACAACAACAACAACAACAACAACAACAGCAGCAGCAGCAGCAGCAGCAGAATGATATACATTATTTTTATGCAATATCTGAGGGTTTGCTGCTGCAGCAGATACCTGCGCAGCAGCAGCGGCAGCAGCTGCTGCTAGAGTTAACAGCAAAAGAGAGGGAGTTGCTGCCTCCTAATTGGGAGAAGCAGGAAGGATGGATAGATGCATTGCATCAGCTTGCTGCTGCTGCTGCTGCTGCTAATGCTGCTGCTGAGGTGTATGCGCACCTCCCTCTGCTGCCGCAGCTACTTGAGGATACACCGCAAAATATTATTAATGATGAACTTTGTGGTCTTTCTTATGAGCATGCGCTGTCTATACACCATAAACTGCAACAATATGCACATTATTAATAATCCTCCTCCTCCTCCTCTTGCTGTTCCTGCTCCTGCAGTTGCTGCTGCAGTTGCTCCTGCTGCTGCTGCTGCTGCTGCAGTTGCTGCTGGTCATTGTGTAGTTTTTTATTATAAAGTTGCCTTTCTTATAATCCTCCGGTGTCTATACACCATAAACTACATTATACTAATTATCTATATAATAACAGCAACAATTGCTGCTAATGCTGCTGCTGCTGCTGGTAGTGTTACTGCTGCTGCTGCTGCTGCTGCTGCAGCAAATCCGGTTCAGAAATGGTGCGAGTTGTATGCATGCATGCACAATTGTGCCTTACATAGCAGCAGCGGCAACAGAGGCAGCAGCAGCACGCAGCAGCAGCGGCAACTGGCAGCAGCAGCAGCAGCAGCAGCAGAATATGCTGTAGCTGAGAGCTTGTGCCAACTTATCCGGTACAGCAGCAACGCCTACTGCCGCCGCAGCAGCAGCAGCAGAAGCAGCAGCAGTAGCAGCTGCTGCTGCTGCTGCTGCTGCTGCGGCTCCGCTGACTGTGTATAACTACAATTGCTAATTCGTACAATCGGCCGACATACTAACGTGCTGTTGCTGCTGCTGCTGCTGCTGCTGCTATTGCTGCTGCTGCTGCAATTGCTGCTGTTGTTGCTACTGCTGCTACTATTGCTGCTGTTGCTGCTGTTGTTGCTATTGCTGCTGCTGCTGCTGCTGCTGCTATATGATGTTAGGGAAGAGGAGACAGTAGAGGGGAATAAACAAAGACAAACAAAACGCTGAGAGGAGAGTCCATTCGCCCCACATATAGGAGGTCTTAGTCTCTTAGCTAGCTAGCTAGCTAGCTAGCTAGCTAGCTAGCTAGCTAGCTAGCTAGCTAGCTAACCGTATATCTAGCCAGCTAGCTAGCCAGCTAGCTAGCTAGCTAGCTAGCTAGCTAGCCGTTTGCCCTTATGAGGGGTAGAAGGGTTTAGGTGATTTGCTTATATAGAATAACACGGAAACACAAATTAGGGTTTTGCCTAGGGTTTAGGGTTTAGGGTTTACCCTAGGGTTTAGCATTAAAACATTTAATAAAGAAATTAAAATCCTTTGGAGGGTTTTATAAACCCTAAAATAAATTAGGAGGGTTTAGTAAGAGGGGAGTTATTAATTAGGGTTTACGATGGCTGTATATATTTATATTATTATTAGTGTTTACGAGGGTTTAGGGTTTACGTAGATACATAAATTATTATTAAACACTAATTTAGTTTATAAGTGTCTCAATATTCCCCTTTTTCGCCATTTTTTGAGGGTTTAGGGTTTACGAGGGTTTAGGGTTTAGGGTTTAGCCACCATAAATAATCCCTATTCTCTTTATCCTTAATAAACCCTTTCTTTATAAATATAAATAATCATTAATACCTACATAATTAAAAAGTATTTTTTCTTTGTTTTTTCTTCGTTTTTCTTCGTTTTTTCCCCCTTTTTGAGGGTTTAGGGTTTATGAGGGTTTAGGGTTTATGAGGGTTTAGGGTTTAGGACCTATTGAAATTTATTTAGCCAC